ATTTAAAGTCCAAGGACACCATTGGACTTAACATGATAATTATTGGTCTATTCCCCTGCATACACAACAGAAAGGTGATTGGATGGGACATCTTCGGCTCCTTCTGGGCCTCTTACAGCTTCCTCGAGTTCACCCGTAGCCCGTTGTCACAGTAGTCTTAGTTACTTACGTCTCTTACCCTTTATATAGAGTATAGACTAATCAATCAAGATTCTCTCATCCATTTACATTCCAATAAACTCCCTTTAATTAGATTATATGATATAGTATGATTCATTAGAGAGATTTAAACCAAAAAAATTCTGTTTCTAATAGATTTTTGGACATTTTTCATGCTTAATTATTATCATTTTTTTGTTTGTTTAGTCTGTCACTAAACACCTTTATATAACAGACAATAATAACAAATACATGACTGAATACATTCTCTTTTTTAAATAATCATACCCCCCCTTTCCCCGGCTATATTCTCCTTCCTATTCTCTAACCATTAATTTATAATTACTGTTATTTTATCCAAATGTGACTCACTTTTTTTTTGATAAACCTTTACATATTATCTTCAATAAAGATCATTCATGAATGACAATGATGACGACAACGATGTTGTTGTTGTTGTTGACGCTGAGGACGATGATGATGATGATGATGATGATTATCTCTGGACTCAAATCTACTATAATCACCAACTATATTACTCATTTTAAAAGTGTTGATTATAATTACTACTAATAGTAAATATAAATACTACTCAATCATATTATTATTATCTTATTGTAGTTATCCATTAATCCAGTTAAACACCAAAAGTATAAATGTTTATTTATTCAAATAACTTAAGATTATTCACTCTATATATTTAGATAAGTTACAAATCAATATTTATCTGTCTCCCCCTCTCTCTCCCTCCCTCTCTCCCCTCTCTCTCCTCTCTCTCTCCCCCCTCTCTCTCCCCCCTCTCTCTTTGTGTGTTTCTAATATCGATTCCGGATGTGTACTATCTTCAAAGTTATATACTATTTTACTCCTATAATTACAATTCATGTGAGAATATATCTGTAGTAGTTTAGGTTAATGGTGTTTATCTTAATCTCTATTTAGTACTCAAAGGAAATTGAATAATTAAAATTTTTATGTACAAAATATCGACTTAATTAATATACAATTATTGTAAACAATTAAAAAAATACCAGAAAAATCCCTTCCCCCCCTTTATTATTTTTTATTTATTTAAAAACAACAACAACAACAACAACATACGGTCTTATAATTCAACTACTTTTACTTCCAAACATTACTTACTTACTTACTTACTTACGCCTGTTATCCACAATAGGCTGCCAATCACTATTCAGTTCCAAACAACTAGATAATAATTGAGGAGTCCGCATACCAGGACGAAACGGCCATCCAGTGCTTCCAGGTTTTCTATAGTGGTCTAGCTTCAATTGACTCATGATTTCAACTTGTGTAATAATTGAATAATTGAGTTCATGAGTTAATTAAAGCTAGATTACCATAGAAAACCTACAAAAACTCTGGATAGTTGTTTCATCCTAGCGTGGAACTCCTCCTCAGTAGTTTGCATAAAAAGGTTTGTTGTAAGATTGTAACTCATTGATAATAATAATGAACAATGGCTCAATTTTGTGAATTGGTTGAAGTTAGACATTTACACTATTTGGATTTCGGCCAACTTAGTGATCTAGAGATCAAATGTTCACGAACGAGACTGATAGGTGCTGGGTTCGAATCCCGCAGGATAAGATATTGAATATTTACTTTTGAAGATTTCCACACTAGAACGAAACAGTCATTCAGTGCTTCTAGGTTTTCCATAGTGATCTAGCTTCAATGGAACTCATGAACACCCCTACAGATATAATTAGAAAGTTGGTATATCATTGGCAAATTGTTGCCTATACTTTTCACTCATTGTTATTATTGAAAAGAAAAACATTTTCTATATTTATTATTAATTAAATTTTTAACCCAGACTCAATTAATCTTTTAGTTTAGATATAATTACTAAATAGGTCACAGCGACATCAAATCATATTGACCGGAAATGTTGATTTTGTTATTAATAAATAAACGATAATAGTTTATGGCATATTTTATGAATCAGACCTTATAGATTATCCCGTTATAGTGTTATCAACTAAATAGATTCATATCAGAAGGGGTTTTTGTGGATATTATTGTGATTTCAATAGTTAAAATCATGAGTCCATTGACTAAGGGATTAAGCGTTAACGGGGTGAGACCGATAGGTACTGGGTTCGAATCTCATGAGGCAAGATCGTGGATACGCACTACTGAGAAGTCCTACAATAAGATAAAATAAACGGCTTTTCGGTGTTTCTAGGTTTTCCATGGTGATCTAGTTTCAATTGACTGATAATCTCAACTATTTAAATAGATTCAGTTGAATACAGTTAATGATCATATGTTCATTGATGATTAACTTTCTGAAAATTTCTGCAAGTTCTCGTAGAAAGCCTAAGATTAATAGACTTTAATTATATTAGGCATGCACCATCTGACACTGATGTGAGTAAAAGTTAAATTCATAATATTGCTAGCTAGAAATTCAACTATTAGATGCAAAATCAGAGGCCTGAAGGTTAAGAGCTCACTAAAGAGAATGAAGATCTTGGGCTCAATCCTTGACGGGATCGAGGGAGGTGAATTTCTAAAGAGTCTCATCGAAAACAACAACTATTCGACGTTATCTAGTTTTTAGTATTTAGCCTTTTGATATTCAACTGTTATGGATGCAAATAAGAAAACGTCCTCTTTTTAGTGGTTTTATGTAATCAATAGAAAGCCCTAGTTGAACTAAGTTCTGATATGTCTCCTATTCATCAGTAAGAAGTATCTGTAACCTGTAAAACCTGATATACTCTGATGAATTTGAGTGTATTTACTCGAAACTTAGTTGTCTCAAGATTTAGTAATCAATTTAATTTGCAGTTCTTTATGTTTATCGAATTTTATTGTGTTCAAACCACAAGGGAGTTATCACTTCTCTTACGATTATGAATTGAGTGCATTCTGATAATAAATCATTAATTCTAGTAAGCAAATTGCAAAGTAGGTAATTGATTCCCATCATCATCAAATACTTGATAATGTGGCAATAATAACCATTCTATGACTAATTAGAACGGATGAGTATGTTAAAACATTGGCATAACACTTGAATAAACCTATCTTGGTTGCATTCTGAAATAAACAACTCGTGACAAGATTTTTTAACAGTCACCCAGTTAATATTTAGTTATTAGTTAGAATTTATGAACTGTCCGTCACTTATCCCATTGTAAGTAGCTAATGTGGTACAACTACTTACACTAAACATATAGTTTCATTTACATTCATTTGGTATTGTTTACTTGTATCTTCTCAGATGGCTATCAGGACTCAGTAGCTAAGTGGATAACGCAATGTTGATTGAGGTGAATGTTACTGGGTTCGAGACCTAAAGGGAACATCAACTCTGAGATTGTAGAAACATCCAGCTGATGAGTCTCAAATAGGATGAAACACGCGTCCTGGATTCCACTGTTAACCACTATCCATCATTATTTATAATGCTTGTGAATTAAGACAATATCGAGGCAATGCACACAGGATGCGCATATGCCAATAAGAGACTGATCAATTGCAGTCTTGAACAACAATGAAGAAGATACAAGTGAACAATACCAAGTGATTGTGAAATAGTTATTTATAAGGAAGTACAACAAGAAATTGACTTTGATAGTAACACAGCACTACCATAACACGGTAGCCATATGATATAGTTATGTTAAACTCGGTTATATGCAATATGTTAATAATTCCATATAATTTTTCATTTGTAAAATGTCAATCAATCATCTCAGATTCGATTGTTCCTTCGTTTTCATACTAACCATTCTGTGCTCTCGTTTTCTTTTCTTCGATCTTCTTAACCTTCTGCCATCAGACATTTCACTTTCGATTGACGATATATACTACTTATATCTGTCGATATCAGTAGGACACACCACAATATAATATTGAAAATGTTGTTTTCATCATCCCTATTCTTTATATTCATGAACTTCATTTATCTTATGTTTCCCAGTACGTTATACCGATAATAATTTTGAAAGATGTAATACACAAAGTTTATCGTTTTTATTGAAGACTAGTAGGTATAGACATTCATCTTATATACTCAACAATAACTACTCATCAACCAGGCAAGTATACATGATCTATACACTTGTTTAAGAGTACACTGTGACAGCTATTTTCAATCAGTAGTATATCTAGATGAAGAAAATCATGTTGTTTTTCTAAAAAAAAAATAACTTAACCAATTTTAATAATTAGATACTTCGTAGTTTTATTTCGTAGTGTGGCGTTGAGTCGTTGTTGACTATGATCACCACTACAAGAAGGTTACGTACCAGATATGAGAAGTCAATTGGAGGTTGTAGTGAAGTATATTTGATAGTGATCTCGTGGTATCGAAAGAATACTGAGATCGTACCAAAGGAGTATAAGCGGATTCACTGAGCAAACGTAAGTTCGTGCAAGGTCACAATCAACGAAAGGAAGAATGGAAGAATAATGGATGTCTTAAGTACAGTTAAACAAACAAGTACAGTAAAACAATCACTGGTACAATTGGTTGTAATAATAATTGTTTGCATTAAACCAATCGCGTTCTCTTGATAAAAGTAGGTCACTACAACTTCACGGACTGATTTAAGATTGTTTACTACTGTAAACCAAAAGAAGAATAATACAGTTATTTAATTCTGGTATGGAAAGCCTCAACACTGTGCATCCACGATCTCAATAAAGATTGAACCTGAGAATTCACGTCTTCAATCAGTGTTTAACTTTTAAACTACTAAGCTGAAATCTAGTGTCTAACTTCGATCAGTCCACGATAGTGTATACTACTACTGTACATTATATTCTTATTAATTGTTTTTCATTTGCAATTATACTGTATTTAGGTCATTTAGGTATTGCTGGAAGACAATGTAATGCCACGTCAAAAGATGCTGTTAATTCATGTACACGTTTATGTTGTGATCGAGGTTATGATACATTAGAATTGGAACGTGAACAAAAATGTGAATGTAAATTTTTTTGGTGAGTGAAATAAAATACTTTAACATTTTCAACATGTTTTGTATCTTTTTGAAATCGAATATTACGTAATGAAATGAAACATTCTTAAGTGAATTATTCAACTGTTGGATTCTTTCAACAGTTGAAATCATGAGTCAACTGACGCTAGACAACTATGGAAAACGTGGAAACAGACAACTCGTCTTATTGTGGTACTCCTCAACAGTGAGCATCCACCATACAGCCTCATGAGATTTGAACCCATGACCTATCAGTCTCGCACACGAACGCTTAACCCCTACACCACTGAGCCAGTCGGCATCCAACGGTATTAATGTCTAACTTCAACTAATCCACGAAATTGAACGACATACCCACCATTATCTTCAGTGAGTTACTATCTCACAACAGACCCGATTGAACTCCATTGATCACTGCTACTCACTAGAATACCAGGAAATACATCTTGAAGCCAATCACAAGTGATGCCGTCTCAGTAACCTAGAGGTTAGGCGTTCGCGCTCGAAGCCGACATATCCTGGTTTCGAATTGCGCGAGTTGTGATCATGGATACACACTGATGAGGAGTCCAACGCTATAACGAAGTGGCCATCCAGTGCTTCCAGGTTTTCCATGTCGGGTTTTTTGTTCAAAAAATAATATAACCTGTCAGAAATTCAAGTATACAAGTGAAAATTAATTCATATGTGGATCAGATATATGCATATTTAAATATATACAACAGAAATGGTTACCAGTTTAGGGGTTGTGGAGATCGTTAAGTTCTTGATTGAGATCATGAACCGATTGATGTTAAACCACCATTGAAAACCTGGATGCACTGGACGGTCAACTCGTTCGATTGTGAGATTCCACAGCAGTGCGCATCGACGATACAGCCTCATGAGATTCGAACCCTGAACCTATCGCTCTCGCGCACGAACATGTAACCTATAGACCACTGAGCCAGCCGGTATCCAATGGTGTTAATGTCTAACTTCAACCATTCCACGAAGTTGCGCGACCATCTTCTATTATACTGAGGTAGATACCTGTCTCTAGCTGACACGGATTAGCTCCATTGGTCAAAACTTATCACTAGAACTCCGAGAATTTTCTCACGAAGCTAGTCACTAGTTAGCACATGGTAATTATCAGTTTAGGACGTGCAATGCTTCCAGGTTTTCAATGGTGGTCTAACATCAATCGGTTCATGATCTCGATCAAAAAGAAATGGTTACCATTTAAACTGAACCCATTATCTTATATAAGAAGAAGAATAAAACAGTTGAGTTTTATTATTGTTTATCTATTATGTTTACTTCAAAGAACAATGTACAGATTTTGATATTATTCTGTTATCACTTTAGTAAAAGAATAAAATCTATGTAATTAGGCTGTCTCCGCCTGTAGCTCTTCTAGAGTTACTGCCGGTCCCAAGTCCGGGTAAAGGAGGAGGGTTGGGCATGGGGTTAGCGACCCCATCCCGTAGAAAACTAACTGGCAAAAAAAACACTAACTAGTAATTAGGCTGTTCTAAATGTAGATTGGTTTCTTCAGTTTGCTTTAATTAATAATGAATGTCCTTTAAATTTTTGACCAATCCAATATGTAGTGAGAACACATATACTTCTGTGAAGCTTTATTAAGACAAATGAATTACGATAATAATATTTACAAATCATGTGTAAATATAAATGAACTGATTGATTCAGACAAGAATATGTGATTGATGACTTTATTGAATTGAAACAATTCATTTACTCACGATAGTCAATCTGCTGTACCCGAGTAAAGACCAAGTTATGGTCGAATTCGGTGGACTATTAATGGACTGATATTACTTGATTGATCACTGGGTGGTGATCAATGTCATGTGTGTCAAGTTCTTATTTAGTGCAGATCGAATGCTATCGATCATGTTGCAATGTGGCCACCAGTCTAGGTGACTCAACACTACGTGCACTATATATTGAGATTAGATGGTGGTTGGAAGTAGTCGACAGGAAACCCTGGACCCGTGTTTCGTGCTACATGGCACTCGTCAACAAGGTGTACCTGCAATCTTGAGGGAACTGATGCTCCCTGGCGGATTCGATCTCGTATCACCCAGCTTCACAGTCAGAGCCGTTACCACTGAGCTATCCGGGCTGCGACTGATCTCCTGTAGGACTGAGATGTAATCACAATTGATTGATCACTGGGTGGTGATCAATGTCATGTGTGTCAAGTCCTTATAATATTGCATATATATTGGAAATATATATTCTTATTGCATAACTGTTTAGTAACTAGGTTATGTATATCTATATTCCTCTTATTATAAGCTTCAATTCGACTTATAGACTATTATGATACAATTTACTGTTCTTAAGTTATGTTCATTTTATTGATTACTGTCTCCCAGGTTCATAGCTACTTTATGGCTTGATCTTGTATAAATGTTATTTCCTATTTTATGGCGTTATATGGTCTGTTTGACTTGTGTATAAACCAAGTATGTTTGAAATACATGATTTGTATAGTAGAAGTTGATATTGGTGTTCTGAACTCATCTGGAATGGCTAGACAATCAAAGGGCCAATAATGACACTAGATTACTCATATAGGTTTAATGTCATCGGTATTTATTATAAGCTTTATTTTGACCCATAAACTATTATTATAGGTTTTATCATGCTTGAGTTATATCTAGTATATTAATTACTACCTCCCTCATTCACAGCCACATTTGGCTAATTCTTGTACAAATGTTGTTTCATATTTTATTGGTACGTTGTGGTCTGTTTGATTGGTATATAAACTCAGTATGTTTGAAATATAATGATTCATATCGCAGAAGCTCGGATCGGTGTTCTGGATTTAACTGGCTAGGCTAGGCGGAAAGCAGGGCCAATCAGAACTTTAGGCTGCTCGCACGTGTTTTACGCGTCCTTGATCCGATCGATAATTCACTGCACATTAACCGGCGGTTACAACTTATAACAGCACTACAGAGTATTAAGATTGAATAAGTCATATTTCGATTAGAGAATAAATCACCTACTAACTAGCCAGGTTTGAAGTCACAACAGTAAGAATACTAAATACAACAAAATCTTTCAATAGATCTTTTAATAGATCCATTATTATTTGTGTTTCTATCGCTAAATGATAAGAAACACAAAACAAAATTGTTTTTTTCATCAATTCATAAGAAATAAACATACAAAAAAGTGTTATAAGCAAAGATGGATAGTGGCTAGCAGTGGAATCCAGGACGCGCGTTTCGTCCTGTTTGGGACTCGTCAGCTGGATGTACCTGCATCTCAGAGTTGATGTTCACTCTGGGACTCGAACTCAGTACCGTTCGCTTCAAACGCCATCGCGTTATCCAATTAGCTACTGAGTCCTGATAGCCACTTGCTTGTGCAATGGGTTGAAGTTGAATTCACTTGATATTGTTTTACTTGAATTTTCCCATTGATGTTTTTGGACTGAAATTGATCAGTCTCTTATTGGCATATGTGCATACTGTGCGTATGCCTCGATATTGCCTAAATTTACAAGCAGGTACATCCAGCTGACGAGTCCCAAACAGGACGAAACGCGCGTCCTGGATTCCACTGCTAGCCACTATCCATCTTTGCTTATAATGCTTGTAAATTTAGGCAATATCGAGGCATACGCACAGTATGCACATATGCAGACTGATCAATTTCAGTCCAAAAACATCAATGGGAAAATTCAAGTAAAACAATATCAAGTGAATACAAAAAAGTGACTATTTTCTAGTATAAACAAAGTTGTCCGGAAAAATGTGGTCTCACATAAAACTTAAAAGACAACAACAACTAATGATTCCTTAAATCAATGTTTGATGTATATGTAGCTTGTTATATATGGAAAATATATGTCTTTAAGAGGATAGAAAAGATTGGTAGACCACCATGAAAAACCTGGAAGCACTGGACGGCCGTCTCGTCCTAGTATGGGACTGATCAGTGGTGCGCATCCCAGATCCTACTTTCTGCGAGATTTGAACTCAGGACCTATTAGTCTTGCGCGCAACCGCTCAACCACTGTAATCAGATAAGATAACTGATTTGAACTGTTGAATGTAATATATGTTAATTAGTTAATACGATATAGATAGAATGGAATAAGGTGTTCAAGTTTGCTTATTTATTACTAATCGCTATGGTACAGTTAGTTGTATTCCGTCTCTCATATTAATACTGTTTGGATCCCGCCTCCCGCGTGAGATTCGAATGCACTGCTGAGGAGTCCCAAATTAGGACGAAACGGCCGTCCAGTGCTTCCAGGTTTTCCATGGTGGTCTAGGTTCAATTGACTCATGATTTCAATTATTGAAATCAATAAAACCTCCATAAAACCCATTTTCAGAAAAGATTGTATCACAAAAGTGGATTCGAGAATAAATAACAAATGAGGTTACGTAATAATAAAGAGGAAACGAAGAACATAGTTTATGGGTCAGCTGATAGGTCTAATTGATAGACATGAAGAAAAGCGACAAACACAAAGGTCATGATAATAAACTGAATAATAATCAAGAAAATTTGTTTAAGGTAATAATAATAATAGTTGACGAGTCCCAAATAATATCAAACTCGAATCCTGGATTCCACTGTTAACCACTATCCATCTTCGTTTAGATTGCTTGTGCATTAAGGGAATATCGAGGCAGTCCGCACAGGATGCACATATGCAAATAAGAGACTGATCAATTACAGTCCTAAATAACAATGAGAAGATACAAATAAAACAATACCAAGTGAAGTAACTGATTACAGTTTAAAATACAGAACAGTAATTTCAAAAATTCTATAATAATCAAATAAAAGTGCAGAAACATACCCATTAAGGGATTTGGGGCCAAGAAAGGATGAGAGGTCGAACAAATCGTTTCTGCATGCAGAGTTCAAGCTTGAGTCTGGCGATTACCAATGCCTAGCGTTGAATAATTTTTTCTGGTTAGCGTTGTTTTAGCGAGTTAGTTTTCTACGGGATGGGGACGCTAACCCCATGCCCAACCCTCCTCCTTTATCCGGGCTTGGGACCGGCATTAGCCCCCGGAGGGACTCCAGGCGGAGTAGTACATAAAATATTGATTCAACCCCCACTTCGATTCAGCTTAAATAAATGATTTTGTCAAAAAGAAAAGTTTCTTCGCCAAATTCTCTTTGTCCTATTCAATGACACTATGAGTTATTTTAATCACTGAATCCATTTATTATCTATTCTAGATCTTTCTTATTTATCGATTGTATTTATTTATTTCAGGTGCTGTGAAGTTCGATGTAATATATGCCGTGATAGAACAACTTTACATCATTGTAAACATTGAAGAAGAATAAGAAGAAGAAAAAGAAGACGACGAAGAAGAAGACGAAGACGAAGAAGGCAATTATTCATCAATCAATTATCTTCATATATATACCTAATTTGAAAACATTTATAGAATGGAATAGTTTACATTGTCTCATTAGTGATAAAAATCATTGTGTTGTATTTGACTGTTTTGTTTATCTAATATTCATTATTCAGCTAAACCATATTCTATTATTATTAAGTTTACATCTAAATGATGATCTGATCCATAGTGAGAGATATTATAGAATTGAAATAGAGAAATAGTATCCAAGTCATTGTAAACATGATGATTGTTACCTCATTATTGATGCTGTTTGCTTGTTATCTTATCATACTCAATGAGTATATAATTGATGTCATTGAAGAATTTGAACAGTATTTGAAATCCCATGGTTGTCATCTTGTTTTAATAGGTATACTTTGTTGTTGTTGTGGTGGTTGTTTTTTGATAGTATTTTACTAAATTGATTACCATTGAATATTCAATGATAAGCAATATCTTCTGTATAAACAATATACATGTTCTTTTTTCATAATGCAAGTTATTATTTCACATGAAATTTAAATAAACTACTTATTTACAAATATGTTTTTTTTATGTGGTCTAACTTTAATTGACTCATGATCTTTCTGAAACTAATTAGCATATCATCACTAGTGACTAGTTTCAAGAGGCACTTCCTGGAGTTCTAGTGAGTGGAAGTGATCAGTGGAGTTCAATCGGGTTTGTTGTGAGATAGTAACTCACTGAAGATAATGGTGGGTATGTCGTTCAATTTCGTGGATTAGTTGAAGTTAGACATTAATACCGTTGGATGCTGGCCAACTCATTGGTGTAGAGGTTAAGCGTTCATGTGCGAGACCGATATATACTGAGTTGAAATCTCGTCAGGCGGTATGGTGGATGTTCACTGTTGAGGAGTACCACAATAGTATGAGTTGGCCGTTGAGTGGACATCTGATTCGTCCTTGTATGGGATCTCTCAGTAATTCGCGTCCACAATGTCTCCCGTGGGATTCGGACCTATGACCTTTGGCCTCGCGCGCGAACGCTTGAACTTTAGACCATTGAGCCGGAGTCCAACGGTGACAATGTCTGACCAATCCATGATATTGCACAACCATCTACCATTGTCTTTGATGGGTAAATATTGAATTCAGGGGTCATGGGTTCGAGTCCGGCATGAGAAATCGTGGATGCGCACTCCTAAGGAATCCCATACTAGGACGAAACAGCCGTCCAGTGATTTCAGCTTTTTAATAGTGATCTATTATTGGTGGGTTCATTATCTCAATTAAAGTGTATATGGACCAGTTTTTTAAATATATCATATTGACACTTATCGATGTCCGATATTTTTGTGGATATTATAGTAATTTTAATAGTTGAGATCGTGGGCCAATTGCAACCAGACGGCCATGAAAAACCTGGAAGCACTGAACGTCCGTTTCGTCCTATTATGTGACAACTCAGCAGAGCGCATCCACAACCCCACCTCTCGAGATTCGAGCCCAGTACCTATCGGTCTCGGGCTGACTAATATGTTCAGTCAACCAATTTTTAGTTATCATTGTCTGGTTTGGAAATAATGGTAGTAATACAAGTAATATTATGATGGAAAGTATGTATCTATGGATTATAAGTACTTTACTGATTATAAACAAGACGTACACACATCTTAACACATCTTCGATCAATTTGGAATCATATCACAAATTCAAATTATATTTTAATCTATTCACTTATAAACTACTTCTTGTCAATTAATTTACTAACCAAACCTGTAAGCCCGAATGAACAATAGTCTAATGTATGTAGTATCTACCTCAATAAACTTGGAAATATTAACAGGATAGATGGCTAATTGGAATAGTATTGTAGATCACCAACGTAGATGATCTATGTCGAAATGATTGGAGGTCTACTCGAGTTAGACGTGAATGGTGTAACAAACTGGCTAACGTCGAAGTCACACCTCGTGGTCAGCACCTTACCTGGACTACCCCATTGACGTATCAAAGTACCATAGATGCTCTGAAGACTGTACAACACAGAGGACATTATTACAGAAATATATTAGTTAAAGTAGATACAAGCGAAAGTAAGACCACTACCGCATGGGCCAGTCCATGGCATACGATTAACTGATGCGCGTTGGTTGTCCCTGACCTTGACGAGGATCGATGATTTGCTCGATATTCAATGACCCAACTGCCGGATGATATGGCTAGGGCTTATTGACATATCGCTGGCCCTACAGTATTGTATTTACATAGAAATTTTAGATGGAATTATTGCCAACATTTTAAAATATCGACTTTTATTCACTTTCAAATTCAAGTCAACGGTAAGGAATAAATACATGATCATAATTTAATTTTTACATTAAATTGCTCAGATATATTATTTTAAGATGGTGGAGAAGATTTGTAGCTCAGGTGGATGATTTTGATAGAGTTCTGTTCTCTAAACTGAATGGTTTAGTTGTGGAGCATTCATTGTTCTTTAGAACGACATTTGTGCTGATGAATTCTCAGCACGAAATATTTCAACAAGTTTCCTTTTCTTCTTTATTGATTGATCCTCACAATAAATATTGAATGGTTGCCAGCTACGCCGACGACTAGTATTCTCCAACCTACTACGTCCTGAGAATTCTTTTGTACTTCATTCTTCGCATGTCTGTTTCCGTTTCTCGGTGTAATGTGCTCTTTGATCGTTCACTTCTCCTTTGCCCATGAAGAATTCAAGTGAGAGCTTGCCTTCTGACGCAGTTGAGTGCTTTCCTCAATGTATGTCCTATCCACTTCCAGCACTTATTCCTGAATTCTTCCTCCACTGGAATCCGGTTTGTTCTCTTCTACAACAGGTTGTTGTTGATAGTGTCTGGCCAATGGATCCGAAGTATTTTGCATAGACAACTGTTAATAAACACTTGTATTTTCTGGATGATTGCTTTCGTAGTTCCTCAAGTTTCTGACCCATACAATAGAACTATATTGACATTTGTGTTGGAAATTGTGACTTTGGTGTAGGTTGACAGTTGTTTTAATTTCCATATGTTGTGTATGCTGCTCTTGGTTTGCTGATTCACGTTTTCACAACTGCATCAGATCCACCGTATTCATCAGTGATGAAGCCGAGATATGTATGATGGCTTTCATAGTTCATTGTTTAACCTGTTTTTTCTCCACATTGTTTATTCCAAACTTTACAGTTTATCTTTTGACAGGAATCGTTTTTGTGTGTGTATGTGTGTGTGTTTCTTTTTACATTCATACCTGTTTTGTTTTCATGAGAATAAACAGTAATTTTTGACAATTTCCCATTTTGACATTCAGTTATCTTTTTTTTGTATATTTAAGTAATACTCTTCACTTCTGTATAACATTCCTCGACCATCAAAGACAAAACTGATATGTACAACATAAATAATAATAATAATAAAAACATAGATGAGTTCGTGTAGTGAATGTAGTTTTCGAATGAGACGTCGAGGAATAGTGAGAAAATAATGACAAGCAAAACAAAAAAAAAACAAGTGAGAATGAATGAATGAATGATCAGTGATAAATGTCCAGTCAAACAAGTTAATTTTTATCTTCCTACTTATGATTCATTCAGAATTCCGGAGGTTAGAATTTATTTTAATGAATATTTTTAATAAGCATGTTTATAATGATTGAGATTAGTTGTCTTTGTTTGAGATGAATGATTATTTATTTCAATAGTTGACATCATGAGTCAATTAAAGCTAGACCACCATGAAACACCTGGACGTACTGAATGGTTGTTTTGTCCTAGTATAGGACTCTTCAGCAGTGCGCATCCCACGAACTTAGAATTATTTATTTTCCTTATAGTATATAAATTAAGTGGTTGGAATTATCAGTTAGGTTAGATGGAGAGTACTGGTAGGCGGCTCATACTCCTCCATGAGGAGTAACAGGTCTAAGTAAGTAAGTAAGTAAGTAGGTAATATAGGTTAACAAGGTATATACTACAATGGAACCGATAACATAAGCATTGATACATATTCTTTATAGCCTACACAGACCTACATTACATGATTGTGTTTAGGACACTTTTATTTCAACACTTTACATAGTGAATAACTCAAGTGTCAGGTTTTATAACGATGAATACTAAATAAAGATTATTTTTAATGAAACAACTATTTTATTAAATTGTTTATGATAGATTGTTAAAAAGAAATTAAAATCATTCATAGAGTTGACATTATCTTTCTCGAGAACTCTATGTCATGGAACCCCAAATACAATGTGATCAAAATACACTTACCATGATTTGAATGATCTTGAAAATGAAAGCAATTCCATGTTTCAATTCACTTGGTATTGTTCACTTGTATCTTCTTCATTGTTGTTCAAGACTGCAATTGATCAGTCTCTTGTTGGCATATGTGCATACTGTGTATATTGCTTCGATATTGCCTATTTAGATGTCGTCAGCTGGATGTGCCTGAATCTCAGAGTTGATGTTCCCTTTAGGTCTCGAACCCAAAGTACCATTCGCTTCGAACACCATCACGTTATCCACTTAGCTACTGAGTGCTGCTAAATGCCAATAACAGACTGATCAATTAAAGTCTTAAACCTTAATGGGAAGATACAAGCTAAACAATACCAAGTGAATCTAAATAGGATTGTTTTGAAATAACCCAGATAGGAGAAAGTAGAAAATAACTCAATTACCAAGAGATTTGGCCTACATTACATTTTTTATAAAACTTGCATATTGACAAGACAAAAGTGACCATGGTGACAAAGAACAACAATAAAAGTTCGGTACGAATTACATTGTTATACTTATGTAAGTAAAGGAACAAAACAGTGTTCATATTGTTTTCGTCCTATTCAGTACTATTCATAGATGTTTCTCAACCAGTGCTACTGTATGGCGGTACAATCGACTAAGGATTGATGAAGTCAAACTCAAGGTACTAAATATGG